ATATATATATGTGTGTGTGTAAAAAAATTTGTTTTTATACCCACAACAGAAATCAATTTGAGTGCAAATATGTGAACAATACAACTAACAATAAAAATAAAACATGTTAGCCTGTTGTTTACTTAAATAATCCAACTTCTTTCTCTCAAATCCATCAGCATTACCTTTAAATAATTTTAAGACTACGTAATAATGAGAATTAGAAAAAATATATATGCCTGAATACTTCAGTTGTACTAATTTTTATGAAATTCAGTATAAACAATAAACAGTATTTTTCTTGTTTACATGAATACGGTCTTTTCAGTTGTCCTGATAATAATAACAATATTCATTTTAGTTTTGTAATGTCACCTCCACTGACCACAAAGGTTCCCAAAAAGGCTCACGGACCACCAGTTGATGATCACAGCTGTAGCTTGTTTTGTGACTCCGAACACTTTTTGTTAGTGAGACAAAGAGCACAGATGGCTCTTTTGAGCATAAAGGTTGCAGACCCCTGGGTTAGGGGGATTGTCCTGGAACCAGAAGGTCACCGGTTTGATCCCCCGTCCAGCCGTTTCAGTTGTTGTGTCCTTGGGCAAGACACTTCACCTGCCTTGCCTACTGATGGTGGTCAGAGGGTCCGGTGGCACCTGTTTATGGCAGCCTCGCCTCTGTCAGTGTGCCCCAGGGCAGCTGTGGCTACAGTGTAGCTTAGCACCATCAGTGTGTGAATGTCTGTAGTATAAAGCACTTTGGGGTCCGGAGGGACTTGATAAAACATACTTCGAGTTTACTTTTTATGTACTTATCTGAGATATACATCTTACACCATACTTGGTTTGTACTAAAAGTTTTATAGTTAGTGCATACTGATGTTTCAACTTTTGGCCAAAATAAACTTTAGTAGTACACTGAAAGTACATTTTCACACAGACTGGGTTATTTGTAGTATATTTGAAGATTAAACTAAAAGGATAATTGGAAAATTACTTTCAGTATACTTTTGAGTGTACTTTCATAAACCTATTGTGGGCCAATTTAGTCCTAGAAGTATACTTGTTAGTAAACTGCTAGTATACTTACAGGGGTTGGACAGTGAAAATGAAACAGCTGTCATGTTAGTGTGGGAGGTTTCATGGTTAAACTGGACCAGTATGGTGGTCAGTCTTCATTAACTGCACATTGCARCAGTAAGAGCAGAGTGTGAAGGTTCAATTAGCAGGGTAAGAGCACAGTTTGGCTCAAAATATTGCAATGTACACAACATTATGGGTGATACCAGAGTTCAAAAGAGGACAAATTGTTGGTGCACGTCTTGCTGGAGCATCTGTGACCAAGACAGTAAGACTAATTATGAATTTTTTTTAAAAAAATTTAATGTACTTTTATATCTTTTTATTGTTTTAAATGTAAATATGGATGCTAAGTCTGCTAAGAAAGTTTAAATTGAATTCTATTGAATTGAAATCAGTATATTTTCTAGTACACTACAAGTACATTGTGCCTAGTTATACTCAAGTATACTTGTTAAAATGAACTTCAGGTATACTTTTTGTTAAGGGACAGTACTGAGGCTGAAGGAGGCAGAGGGGTTCCTCAGCAGGTCACATCTTTGAAACACAAGTTTAAAAAGTTCCAGGGAGGACTAACCATCAGCACTGGATCAGGAACAGGTGAGTGGAGTTGGCTCCGCCCCATCACTCATCGACACATGTAGAACCTCCAGAACTCAGTAGGAACTTTGTRCCACTTTTCTTTCCAGCACCGAGGTTCTGCTCTGAAGGGTCCACCTCAGGTTTCAGTTGCTGGGTCTGGTTTTGGTCCTGATCCAAACCTCATGGCCACAGGTGAGGCTGGAACCAGACCACCGGTCCCAGATAGTAGAACTCCAGCTGAGGCAGAGCCCCCTCAGCCCAGGTGAGTGTCTTCTCATTTATTAAACTTTTTGTTTTTAAAATAACTGTTTAAGGGCCTAAAAAAGCAAAGTTTCCTTTCAGACTGGACATTTTCATTTCTGTCATGATGATTTACAACCAAGATGTTGGAACAACTTTCTGAGTTTGAGTTTAACCCTCAGAGAACAAACTTWGACTCTCGTCTTTCCCAGTGGAGGTTGGGCTCAACGTGTTTRCTGAGGTGGTTTTATTACAAGGTCCCTTCTCGGTTCTGCTTCCTGTTGTTTTCTGGTCTCTGTCAGGATCACAGCTTTCTCCTGGCCTGAAATCCTCTTATTAGAGTGAAAATAAAAAGGTGGCTCCATCTCCTGAATAAATTTGCTCCTCTGTGGCCAAACGAACATCGAGTCCAGACTGATCCGTCTGAACAGCTGTCCCTTGTTTCTATGGTAATCTGTGCACAAATTCACCTAACAAGCTGCTAAAATCCCTGTTTCTGCAACATATTACTGTGTTTTACCAAACGCTTCATTTATTATTTAACACAAAATAACAACTGGTTAAAGTAAAACTGCCTGGCTTTGGAAACTTGCTGCAGGAAATAACAGGTTTCAGATAAAAACGAGCTGCAGCTGTGCAGGAACAGATGACTTCCTGTTGGAGACAGTTTTCAAAAGTCATTTTTGTGACCTGAATCAAGCAAATATATAAAAAAGATTCATTAAAAAATGCATATCACCTGTCAGTTTAAACAGAAAAATACAACAGGTTAAAGTTTAATCTTTTAATTTGAAATAACTGAGTAAACACAGAGCTGAACGGCAGCTGAATTTGTCACTTTTTGTAATTCGTAAAAAGATTAAAAGAAGCGAAACTGAGTTTAGAATAACAACATAGCTAAAATCCACAAAAGCAAAAAGCTAGCTTAAAGATAAAAGCAGCAAAACACTAAAAACACCAAAATATCAGCTAAAACTTAAAAGTAGTAATTTAGTTAAAAATAAAAACTATAAGAAGCTAAATGACAGCTAAAAGTATCAAAATGCTATCAAAGCTGAAACCAGATGTTTTCTAAAATGCACAAAACATTAATTGCTAAAATAAGCTGAATGAAAGGACAAAAAGAAAAATACTAGCTAAAAGTAAAACTAAGTTTAATTTACCAAAAGGCTCAATGAGTCATATGAAAAGCAAATGAATTGCTAAAATCTATGAGTGGCAAAATGCTAGCTATGTGTTAAACATATCAAAATGCTAGCTTTAGGCTAAATTTAGCAAAACACTAAAATTAACTAAAAATTAAAGCACTAGCTAATAAATAAAAGAAGAATGATAACCAAAAAACACTAGCTAAAAGTTTCACGTAACAAAAGTTTAAGTTGCAAATGGATAGCTGAATGTTAGCTAAGTAGCGATGTGCTAGCTAATAAGGAAGCAGAATAACTCTAAGTGTAGAAGAACATCAGCTAAAAGATAAAATGTAGCTTAAAGTTGTAAAACACTTAATTAAAATGAACAAAATGATAGTTTAAAGCTAAAACCCGAGGTAAAAGCTGAATGTGTTTGAACAAAAGAACAGCTTAAAGTGCAAAGGGCTAACTAAAGGATACCAGAATGCTAGAGGAAGCCTTTAGAATTAATGTAATAAGAATAATGTTTAAATATTCCATATTTGTTTTGAATCATGAATGAAAGCTTTGAAATCTTGAGTTTTAACGGTAATCTGGGAGAATATTGTAACATTTTGCTGAGTCAGCAGTCCAGCTGGTCTCAGAGAGCAGAATGTTCGAACAGGATGACTGTCGATTGGCTGGAGAGCCTGGAGGACCTGAACGCACCGACCCGAGAGTAAAGATCTGCCTCCGAGCAGGCCCCCCAGGACAGATGGGGGCTGGGCGGGGTGGTCTGGATCAGGGGCGGGGYGAGAGGCAGAGACAGGACCCGAGGTGTCTGAGGGACCGAAGGTTGACGGAGGACATGTGGAGTCGGAGGCAGAGGAAGCGTGGGCGCAGGAGGCGCAGGAGTGGTGATGACAGTCGGTGTGATGGTTTGGACCAGAGGAGGCGGAGCTTCAGGGATGGCTCCGTTCTTGGTGGGCGGGTCCTGACACGCTGTGGGCTGTAGGAGCCTGTAGGTGGCGCTGTGGTAGAAGCTGCTGTACTCCAGCGCCTGTCTCGCTTGGGCCAACCTGAGCCTGCAAGACACAACCGTGGGAAAAGTTGAACTGACCAGATAAAATGCTGACTTGTGCAAACGCTGAGTCAGCATTACACTGGTTGTTTCCTGTTTCAGCTACTGCCTTGATTTTGTCTTCGTATGCTACTTTAAGCTTTTAGCTACTTTCTGCTAACTTGCCTATTTTAGCTTGTTTCTAAAATTTTGCTGATTTTAGATTTTGTTTTAGGTTTAATTACAATGTTGCTAATATATCTATAAACTGCAATTTGGCTAAATGTAGCATCTAATTAATATCAGTGTTTCCCCCAGGAAATTGGTCTTTGGGGGGGGGGGG